AAAAAAAAACCACCCTATGACAGTTTTTTGTCGATTTGACCGACTCGCACAGACTCAGACCGTCTCGGAACACCTCACACCCCCTCACAGGCAAAAAACCTATTTTTCACACCTTTACACTAAAATTATATCTATATATATATATATATATATATATATATATATATATATATATATATATATATATATATATATATATATATATATATATATATATATATATATATATTCCGAAAATCGTACAAATTGAATTGTAAATCGTACGATTTTTTAAATGTTACGATTCACTAAACAATTTGAATCGAAAATGGTTCAAATCGAATCGAATCGTACGATTTGAATCGTAAATCGTACGATTTTAATTACCATGGGTAGAAGTATTATTTGTATTTTGGTAGGAAATAACTTTTAATAGTATATAGAAGAAAAAATTAGAAACCTAGGACAACAATTCTAGTGAGAGCAAGAGCAACTCCAATGATAAAATATTAAAATCATCAAATATTATTTTGACCCAAATTTCATGCATCAATACTTGATTCAATGCCAATAGCAATCAACGGTCGATTATTTCCATAGAGAAAGAACATTGTAGAAAGAGTATTAATAATTGGTAAAACTGAGAGAAGCAAAAAATATAAATAAACCTACGCTACCTCTACAGTAATACTTGTATCATTTCGTGGAGATAAGATAAGGCTGTCTTTGGTAGTGAATGATAAATAAAAATTAGTTGAGAATTTCACATGGTGAGTAACTGTTGTCCACTTTAGATCCATGTTTCTAAATAACGTGAACATGATATCTATAATATTACACTCGTAGAAGGAAGGAGAAAAAGCAATTTGTAAAATAGATAGGGGTAACTGCACATAAATCCCTTTTGATATCTAAAAAATGCCTGTCAGTCCCTATATATGTTTTAAAGGCGTATTAGTATTTTAAATGCAGGTCAGTCTCTCTTCTATTTTTTTCTTTCTCTATCTCTCTTCTATTTTCCTCTGTTCATTTTCTCTTTCTTCTCTTCTATTTTTCTCTTTATCTTTCCTCCTTCTCCTCCAATGGAAAAATACTGTAAAACCCACCAGGGCTCGTCCAACGGATTCGAGTTCCTAAGTGAGTTTTGAAAAAAATGTTCATTTTCATGTGTAATATTATTGATTCCCCCCCCCCCCCCCCACCCCCAAATACAAGTGTTATCAAACTATCAAAACAAAAATAATATATTACATAACAAATTAAATTAAGTAGTGAAGAGAGTGAATAATTCCAATAAACGAAAAAACATAAGAATTTATTACCTTTGTTCGAATTTGATGCAAAATAACTGCAAAAAAATTAAGAAGTTTATTATATATTATATATCAAATGCTCAAATTTAAAGAACAAAAATATTCTATTTGAGATTTGCCGAATGGGATAACCGGAGAGCAATTCCGCTAGCACCGTTTCTACTCATATGTGATATACAAATTTTATTTTTAAATTGGTGGTTGGATTTTGGATATTTGAGCCCATAAAAAATAAAGAGGAAAATAACCTTTTTCTTAAGTAATTTTAGGGCATTATTGACTAACTCATCTAATATTTTGTTTTGATATATATATATATATATATATATATATATATATATATATATATATATATATATATATATATATATATATATATATATATATATATATATATATATATATATATATATATATATATGGGCCCCCTTGGAAGTTGGGGGCCCAAAGCAAATGTTCCCTCACAAAATCCGTGGGCCGGCCCTGAAATCCACAATGGCTAAAAATGATGAACAAAACACAGTGTCGATTGTAATTTTTGGAGACTGTTGTTACAAAGATCAATTGCACATCAATCCGTTAAGAGTACTTCGACTTTAATGAAGATATATGGTGTCGTTATAAGAAAGTGAGACAATATCTATCCCGATGCATTGATCCTTCAATACTTGATTCATTGGGAAAGATTATATGTAACATTGAGTTGTGACGAAGATGGGAAGAATATGGTTGCATTGCGTTTGATAATGAAGATGAGTTTGGTCAACATTGTCGTCAGCCGCAAAGATGATCCTAATTCGCGAGGAAAGAGGGTTCACTCTGATGATTGGCAGGTCTCCATTTTTGTACTGCTGAAAAGTATTTTTAATTTTTTCATTATTATGTGATACATAATATGGAATATGGGACGTATTAGTTGCATGTACATTTAATTATGGTCTGGACATATGATAGTAATTGTAGGTAATCGTTATATGTACAATATTGGTGATAAACAAATTGATTATTGTTGGTTGGTATACATAGTATCATATAATGAGAATGATAGTATGGAAGCAGTGCACTTTAATATGTTTCATTGTTTACCAGTTAAGATATTTGTCATGTATATTGTTACAATTTATTTGTATTCCACTATATCGTAATCTAATTTGTTTAATTTTCTCTCATTGTCAAACTAAACACCGTGGAACTAAGGTTGTAGATTCTGACAATTTATTGAAAATAGAAGATTTTGCGCTTGGAAATTCAATTGATGCATGGAGACATTGCATATGTGGGGAGAATAATTTTTTTAAAGATCCTACAAAGTTTATTTTGTTTTTGTTCTTTTTTCATCAACGAGGACAAGAACAAGACGGAGGAGAGCACACGTGGTTTCCCACCTCCCCTGAAGGATTGAAATGAAGGAAAACTGATTGTTTGTACGTTATTATTAAGTGGTTTGAATTATGTTGATATGAACTTTGTACTATGTTCCAATTTGCACTATGTTTTTGCTACTTGTATTATGTACTATGTATCATGTACTATGTTGGTTGCTAGTTGATCCGTAATATATGTCGTTTTAAGTCTAAATATGTTGTATTTATTTACGCATTGTACTATCTATTA